ATAATAGTTATAAAGGTTAAAAACACAGTGTTGTATGAGAAATTGCAATTATAACCACTATATGGCAGCGGAAGACAACTAATGAGCTCATTAAATGCACTAAAACAGTACTGTTCATAGGTTTGCTTATGGATTCATGCTTAGATATTATAAAATCACTGTTATAACATTTAAAATCAAATTTAGTCAAAGTTTACCATTTTGTTCATACAGACATATCTGTTTTTACAATTATGCCAGATTATGATTACAGTGAAACCTGAAAATGACATATAAACTCTTAAAAAGAGAACACTTGCAATAAGTATTGTGTCACCTATCATTTATTTCAAATATCTATATCTGCAACAAAATGTGTGTGTGTGTGTGTGTGTGTGTGTGTCTGTGAGCCTATTCTCCATACTGGTTGTGTTTTACTGTCAGCCATACATTCAGTTTGGCCTAGACCCTAAAAGCATGCCACCTTAAAGGCCTTAAAGTGCTTGAACCCCGGTAATCGCTGCTTGCAGCTATATTTAAATATTTATTTTGTAATTAAGTAAACCAGGTACTTTCTACTTGAGTATCCAAAAGTAAAAGTATACTATGATTTAAAGACAACTCTGAATTTGAATTTATTCATCTTTAAGAAGCGAGCCATGCATTTTTTACTGCACGTGTGCACAGGTCATAAATGATCTTTTCCATTAAAGGGCAATATTTATCAGAAGTAAGCCTATCAGATGTTATAAATATAAAAACAGACACTCATTACAGAGGGCTGCAAAATTCAAACAAAAGTCATTGTTGTTGATTATTGCTCTTAATATTGCAATCATGATTATCAACGTTATTAGAATACTTTAAAAACTACACTAGGCTACACAAGCCAAATGTGGAAAAACTATATTGAACCTATTTAAGGTGAGGCTGAAACCAACACAGAAAGTTGTTTTGGATCTTTTATTCTTACAAGAAGGTCATTCAACACAGAAGGGCTTCTGCAGGAGGTAGACCCAGTTAGACAGATGCACACACTCCACCTCTCCGCCCTAAGTTTCGATCGAAAGGAAACATCTTTGCATCAATTCTTTAATATGATTGGATAATTTCTTCATGTATAATTCAGCAACCTCTGCCTCTTTTGCTGGAAAAGCAAATGCAGGTTTTGGGAAATTTTGATTCTTTCAAGAGATTTGTTCATTTTCAGTTCATTCACTAAAATGATTTGTTCAGATTCGTTCACTGATTCGTTCAGTGACCATTTCTTCATATTACATAAATACGCCAGCAGGTGGCGAAAAAGAGTATGCATTATGTATTGTCAACGAACGTATTTGTTACAAAAAACTGATTTGGCTTTATTAAAGCGTGTGCCTAATCTAATCATTAAATAAATAACATGTAAATACGTGGTTCAGCTGACCAAAACACAAGGTTTTCTTGCATAATTGGCATTTTAATTGTTTAGACAGACATTTACACATACATAAATATAGGATTATTTTAAACGTGTCGTGGAGTTATCTCCTGTATTACTGCGCTTTGCATCCACTTTCTGCTGATTGCTGAACGAGATTGGCTCACATGCTAATGACCGACCTACGAACAACATGTACAAGTTGTTCAATTCGTTCACGACCGAGATCTCTCTCTCTCGTTCAGACTCAAAACAGCGACTACAGTGATGGGCGTATTCGTTCAGTAGATCCAACTGTTCGTGAATGAAAAGAACCAGTTGTTGAACGATAATGATGGCTCGGCATATTTGCAGCATTGAAAGAAATTAACATTTACCATTTTAATCAAAACTGACCCACCACTGTGTTTTAGATTTCGTTTTGTAGTATATTTTGCTCTTTGAACAAGTTACTTGACTACTGTACAGAGTACTGAACAAGTCTGAAAGATACATGACCCTTCACATGATTTAAATGAAATATATTTTGTGTATATGCCTATATATTCCTTTTTATGTAAGCCTATAGTTTTATTCTGTTTTCTCCGTTCACAGAAGTGCTGCATGTGCGTGTGATCTGTTGAATCCATCTTACACTATCCTCGGATAAACTCTAACGCCGGTGCATTGCCATTGTGACTTACCTTTGATGAGTTCACAGTTGAGCACGGGCGGGCATTTCACTTATTGGATGCGTCACCTCACATTTGCCTAGGCGTACTACTGGAATTCGTGATTGGTTGACAGCAAATTTCAAATATTAAAAGGAACGATAACATAACGTTATTAACCAGTTAATGCCCATTTAAAATTTTCTATTCTGTTCGGAACTATATGATTTCGTTTGTTTCTGTCAAAATTTTGTTTGTTTCCAGTTTTTCGTTTTCGTTCCTTGAACCGGTTCAGAGCCCTGATTTGAACAATGTTTGAGTTCATCCAGAGATGAGTGAATAATTGAAGATTTGACAAATCTGAGCTCCGTTTGAGACGTTGTTGAGATCTCTTCTGAAACAATAAGTGTCAGCTTTTGGGATTGACAACCGCATTTACTTACAGGTGTGAGTCTCGAAATGTCCCGTCCCGTTCACACGTTCACTTTCTGACGTGTGTTTTCTATCACTGTATGACGTGACAGACACTAGTTGTCCAGTCCTGTTCCGTTCATACAGCGAGTGTTTTCCGAGAATGCGGTTGCGAGTCCTGAAAATGTACGGGTGTGAGTTCGGTTACAGAATGTGGTTGTCATACCCGTAAATAACCGAACTGTGTGTGAACGTAACCGTATTAAGGACTCAAATACAGGACTGACAACCGTATTCTGCTGCTGTGAACGTGGACACGTTTTTTTTTTTATCAGACTTAAGAGCTTGTACATGTAAAATTTGCCAATGTTTTGGAGCACACTAATTTATAGATATCCTTAAGGCTAACATATTCACACTAAAAGGAAAAAAAAACACTTAGCAAGGCTTGGTATATATATATATACAGTGGTGTGAAAAAGTGTTGGCCCCCTTCCTGATTTCTTATTTTTTGCATGTTTGTCACAATGTTGTGTTATCTTTTACTAATATTTAAATTTGTTTGATGATCTGAAACATTAAAGTGTGACAAACATGCAAAAAAATAAGAAATCAGGAAGGGGGCCAACACTTTTTCACACCACTGTATATATATATATATATATATATATATATATATGTAAAAAGTATGCATAAAACTTTTACATTGTGTCTACACAATCACATTGTTGTAAATTTTAACAAACGTCTTCTGCCCCTGATCAGCCAGTTAAGTAATGCACTTAAAAGAAATGTTTGCAATTTGTTGAAATGTTTCAACAGACAATGCAATCCCTCATTAATTTCCAGCTCTGGCATGCGCACTGTTCTCTTTTTGCAAAATAATAAAACAAGCTAAAAAAAAAAAATCATAGTAATGAGAGATGCTTATGTGGAGTAAAAGGCATTAAAATGTAGCAAAGTAGAAGTTGTAATAAATTTAAATACTACAGAAAGTTCAAATTTGTAAATTGCAAAATGCAAAGTAATAGATTGTTTACTTCCAAATGAGCTTTTAAGGTTTTATTACACCTCTAAATACCTCTCCAATGCTTTTTTTTTAATGTGGTTCAGATGGTGATATACATGGAATCCTGTCATTCCGGATCGATGTTCACCAAACTTCCCAACAACGTTCATGGTAAGAAGGGGAATTATATTAAACTATAATGAAATTATATATTTTATATATATACATACACACACTGTGTTTTCTAGTGTATGCTGTGACTGCAGCGAGAGCAGATGAGAACAGTTATGCCTGTTATTTTGACTTTGAGAGGAAGACCTTTCTCTCTGATGAATTCTCAGCTCTTTGGATGTACTACATGGAAGCGGTTTGTCTTAGTGTGATTTGAGTCAAATATAGAATTATGCTAACAAATAAGACTATAAATAAAAAACATTTTATTTCTCAGAATGACCTTGATAATAAAACATTCCGGGATCAGTTTAGTTCTCTTCAGGAAAAGATGAGGATGTCTCACTCCTGGCGTTTTGGGGACATGGTAAAAAATACTTTACACAGCATAAATTAATAAATAAAACACTAAATTCAATTCTCGTAATTGTCACCAATACAAGGTTTAATGGGAAGACATTCATATTTGGATTCCATCAGTATTGTATTTTAAAGTTTCTAGTGTTTTTGTTTTGACTTTTCTTTAGAAAATGGGTGAACATCCAATCAGTGAGTTTGTGAATAACACCCCTCGAAGAGTTCGGGACGAGACAAGAGCTCAGGGGTTTGCGTTAACTCATTTGACCTCTAACCATGAAGTGCCATTCAAAATCTTGGAACACCGAATTAAAACAGAAATTCATGCAGGCAGGAGACAACGTCTGAAAAGAAAACATGAAGCTCTTCGTCAGGTTTGATGTCTATGTAATACAGTACATCATATATGTAACCAATATGTCAAGCGCAGATGTTCTACAGTAGTGTTAATGGATGACAAAAATCCTTAAAAACCCTTTATTGATAACTAACTAAAGTTTTGGAAGGTCACCTACAAGATTTCCTGCAGTCGCAAAAATATCAAACCAATAGACGGTTTCAATGGCAACAACATAAACAAACGTTAGGCCCAAACTTTACTTCCGGTAGACTTCCGCAAAGAATCAATAACAACAGAGTCCCTGTAGAGTAGAGATTATTTCTGATAACAAGCAAAAAAAATGTTAACATTTTAGAAATTAGTCTGATTCAAAGGGGAATCAGAAGGCTGAATCCTGACTGACAGAGGAGGAGCTGGGGATGGAGAAGGGTAATTAGCTATTGAGCAACGCGAAAACTGCTGATAATACTGAGGGACCTTATATATGAATGCTTAGACAGGTGTCACATCCCTATAGGTAGACGTCCCCTGCGTCCGACGAAACTGTCTATAGCCCCATAGCTGAGTTAGTGTTTGTTTATTGAAACATTTCAACAATGTTTTAAGTAAGGAATAATTGACGGTGGGCTGTTGAATTCTTGGAAACATGCAGCCAAAGAATTCAACAGACCGTCTTCTATTATTGCGCTTATACCACGGTTACCACACCACAAGATGTTGTTCAGATGTTTTATCTCAAGACATTTGTAAGGTATTTGTCCTGAAATGGTTGTGTTGGTAGGACTAATTTCTCATGCATCTTATCTCAAGCCGTTGCTTCAGCCTGTATATGCAGTTATCAGATATCGAGAGAGAGAAAGAGAAAGACAGACAACACACATGCACATGTTTGCTTCATTGAGACAGAAAAGCCAAGTATCTATATTTGTTTTCTTCATATTCGACAGCCCGGGAGGAGAAAAATCTATAAATGGCTTGTTTAACGTACATTTCTGCTCATGCCATGATAGTGTTTGAAAATACAGTTATGACATCAAATCGTGCAGCTTGAATATCCTATAATGTTAAATAAAATGATGTTTTGGTAACAATATTATTTATTTATCAGAATGTGTTTGTGTTCATACATGAATCATTATCTTCCAGGCTAAAGGTAAAATTGAAGGAACAGTTGAAGCTATCAGTCAGCACTTTGATTTTAAACATGATGATTTGGATGAAGATCATTGTAAGATGGATTTACATGCACTCAAAAGTGTAGCTGAGCATTTCAGGGCAACCTGTTTTGACTGGGACAAGGAAGAGAGTTTCACACATTTCCATATCGCCTCGTCACACATGTATGTATTTGCTTGTCTTTGTGCACGTGGAGTTGAAGCAGAGAGGTGTGTCCATCACAACACTATTCAGCATCATTTTGTTTATTGTTATAATTTAACAGTCTGCATTAACTTACATTTTATCTTAAATCACTAAATACGTTTTTCTGTAACAGGATCATAGAGGTCATAACAGAAGTCTCCAGGAAAAGCTGAAGGAAACTCCAGGAAGGATATTAACAACATCCTTAAGAGCTTATGAAATTTAGATCAATCTCATCCTAACATGTGAAACTATTGAAATTTGCTCGTAGATAATAACTTTGGTTAAAAGTAGAAAGTGCAATCTGGCATTTGTGTCAAAATTGAGTTATTCACATATTCTTATTCAGTGACAATTTATTTACATTGTGATGTTTTTCTCTTCATGCTGTACATTTTGGGACTTGTTTTAGAAAACAAAAAGCTTCAAACTACAAAGTCAAATGAAATGCAAAAACTTTGAAGCTCAACAGGGCAAGACATTATGTACTTGTCTGAGTAAAAAAAGTTACTTGCCCGGGGTTCTTTTTTCTTTGGCGCAAATGTAATTTATTCTAAAGCAATAGTCTCATCAGTGCTCTATCAGGTATTACTTTAATCAGCATATTTGTGATATTTGCCTTAAATTGATTGCTGTTACACTTTTTAACTTTATGAAGAACAATATTTTCCTAAGCTGATTAAATGAATATGTCACCATTTACGTCAAATTCTTAAATTTGATCAATAAATTAATGTAGAATAATAAGACAGTATATGGTTGTTACTGCATTAGGCTACTGGTTCAGGAAACAGTCCTCATCCTCTATAAAAATGCGCTGCACACATCTGAATATTTGGGTTGAACTGTTCTGGAACAGTGTTGTAAATACAACTTACCGCTGACTTCTAGTCTTGTCCTCTTTTGGAAGACCAAACAAAAGTAGTTTCGCTTTCACAACGAAACACACAGCGCCTCCACAACATGGCAGCAAGAATTGCAACATTGATTCAACCGATTCATTCAAATGGCTGATTCATTCAATAAATGAAGCAAGTGACTGTCTTTATGAATGGCTCTTTGAATTATTGACTCGTTCAAAAATGCTGAATCATTCAGTAACGAAAAACTGTTGTGTGTTGCTCGAAGATGCTGTTCTGCTGTGGCTTTGCTTAGAACTATTTTCGTTAGCGAAATGGAGCAAAAACTATCAATAATGTGTGTAAAATGTAAGTCAGTTAATATTCTTTGTTTATTGAACTAAAGTTGTATCAAATCAATATCACATTTGCAATCATGCTGAAAGTCGGGAAAACATCACTCTTGGTTGTTGCATATGTTATATAGAATATTTATCTTTTTTGTATCGCAGTATGTTTGTTCATGTTTGTTTCTTCGTGTGTGCTGTTGCGCTTATAGTTTTGATTTCTCCGTGAGTCAGACAGGCTGCACGAGCCTCAACCGACACGACCTTGATACTGTCAATACATTATTCATTATTAGTCACCGGTTACACTGAAAGTAATAAAATCAGAATCGTTCTCACCAAAGTTTCGGTGCTGCCCTAGTTATTGTTTGTTATTAAAATTTTAATCAGTTTACTTCTCCGGTCGGGCAAGTAAAATTCTCTTTCACTTGCCCCTTCACAAAATCCGACAAGCGTTAATGTCGAGCCCCGTTCAATATCTCCAAACTGCTAAGAATGCAGATTTTGGATTTCAGAAGTGTTCATCTATATAAATTATGTCCTTCAAAGTGATTCTGTCTACCAGTTCTGGTTTAAGGAATGGTTCACCCAAAAATGTCATAGACATTTCTCAAAACATCTTTGTTTGTGTTCTGTAAAAGAGAGTCATGTTTTGAACCATGTGAGGGTGAATAAATGGTGACAGAATTTTTATTTTCGTATGTTCCTTGAAGGCACAGAAATATGACAATTCCCATAGCAGTGCATACTTGATCAGGATGTTTGGCTATGCTTCAACAAAAGGAATTACTAATAATTAAACAATCCTTAGCTTACTCGATGCATGTGCGTACAAAGACTTATCACGGTGCCCTAAGAGGCTTGAAACTTAATGTAAGTGATTTATGAGAAGTTCTCTTAATGTTTGAAATTGATCCAAAACAAACACACTACTACAAAAACATGCCACTCCATTTATTGCTCCACCCTCAAAATAACAAACATGCTATGCAACACAGGCATTAAATGGATGTGTCTTTATCATAGCTAAGGCCTAGCAAAATAATGCAAATGAGCAAACAAATGTAGAAATGACATGAGTACAGGTACATGCAAGCATCACACCAGCTTCAGATAACCAATGACACTTAAAACTGCTCTGTTACTACATCTAAAGCATATCTTAGTTCTGTGAAACAACAAAACAATTTTTTTTTAGTGACGACCAAGCGGATAGTGGCAGACAGCTGAGTTGATCACGTTTGATCAATTTAGCCTTCTCAAATCATCACAACTTGCTTAAAATAAAATCTGTAGATATAGAACACTTAAAGCATATTACAATGTTAGTTTAAACATTTAAAGCTGCAGTCCGCAACTTTTGGCGCTCTAGCGCAGGGCTCTATCTACGCTTACTTTTCTTTTTAGGAGCACGTTCAAAATTTTAGGAGCACCTTCTAAACAATTATCCAAAATGTTATCAAAAAGTAGCCTTCCCATTACGAGGTGATATTTGACTCCTCTAACTTTATTAAAAGTATGTCATCTTTTGTCAAATTCTTAAAAAAATTATATTTTATACGCTTTTTAAAAATAAAATTAAAGTAGTAGTAATTAAAACGACAGAATAAGAACAAGATCGGGTCAGTCGCACTGGTGCTCCTAAAAAAATGTTTATAGTCGCACGCAGTAGTTTTCAGTCGCAAATGCGACTGAAATGGTCGCACTGTAGAGCCCTGTAGCGGTTAACAAACAACTGCATGCATCTTGCGGTTGTAGCCGAATATCGTAGCCGGAGCTACTTCTCTCTGTTTATGTCTATGACGAATCACACAGGTACTGGGCTACACTGCAGCAGTACCTACCCGAAACCAGTCTAAATAGTCCGAATATAAACACTTATTATAGGTGTACCGTAGTGATTCAGGACAAGCCAAAAACACAGTTTGGAAAATGGATTCATGGTGTACTCGCTTATTATAGAAATTTTGTAAATTTTGAACACAAAAAAGTTACGGACTGCAGCTTTAACCTAGATAAAAGTGCGCTGTTAGGCATATATCTAAGCGTTTGTGCGGAGAGTGGAAGCTGAAGCGCGCTTAATGCATGGAGGCGCCAGCGCGATCACTTCATTTTGTTCTTTATAACAGTGGAAACAACTTGAAGTAGCCTACACCGTCATTTTTGCTCATACAGATAAGACTAATACTTCATTCGGAACTATAAATGGTCTACCCTTATTTTTGTGTGCACTCACAATATCAACAAAATGTTGTGCTTTTGTAAAATAGAGAAAACAAACAGGATGCGCTTGGATTTCCGTCTCGGTCTCCGTGAATAGGGACACGTCGAGCTCGGGCAGAAATGCAAAGCTTGTGCAGTTTAGCTTTGCCGTGTTCACAATAAGCTACAGAATACATGTAAGACTGAATCCATGAAGGGCTAATAATGACAGTAAGACGTTAATAATGTATGATCGTGCTTTGGTTCTATTTAAGAAAAAGTTGTATTTATTATTACTGCAAAAATTTGTTTTTGTTCCATTAATAATTTTTATGTGAGGTTGAAAAATAAACGGTGCTATTATCATTGGTGCTATAAGCCAGTTTTTCATCAGTTACTCATCAAAAGCAGCATCAAAAAGCAGCGTGCTCACTGGCAATCCAGTTCATTATGAACAAAAAAAATATTAGGCCTATATAAGATCAGCATTTGAACACTATAATAAACACACAAGAATTATCTGCATGATGACACTGTTATTTTTATTATTGCGAAGTGAAATGAATGAAGAGCGTGTCTGTCTTGCGTGTGCGCAAACACGAATGTTTATCAAGTTAATCCATAGTCCAGTGGTAGAAGCTAGTCAGTGATTTCTAGGGCTGGCTCGATACCACTTTTTCAGAACCGATACCAAAAATTCTGAGTATCTGCCGATACCGATATTGATCTGATACCAGCGCAGTTTTTAAAAAAAAATCAGTGTAGAATTTCTATACCTTAATGTGTAGGTCGATCATCAGTCTTTTGTCTACTAAATATCGACAGCTTCATTATAAAGAACAAATAACAAACAAAGAAATATATAATCATAATCTATGACAAAAATACTATAATAAACTAGGTTAATAAATAATTCAGTAGCAAAAGTTACTCTAGAAAAATAATGAGTGCACAATTTTATAAAATCCTAAACTTTTAGTGAAAAAAAACAAACATTATTTAGTGGGTAACAAATAAAAGCGAGTAAGCGTAGGACTAAATCTGGTAGGCCTACACATGGCTCTTTGTATTGTTGTAAAATACATTCATGAAAAACAAGTAATATATTTATATATATATATATATAAATATATACTATAGTTGGATCAAAACCTTTCATCAAAGTTGTCCTAAAACCAAAACAATACCCGTTCTTGTCTTAGGACAACTTTGATTAACTTTTTTTGATCCACTTCAAATGTTGTCTACTGTATAAATTAAAAGACATTTCTTTTAAATGAATAGCAAAGTAATGGTAATGGCAACATATGATAGATAAGATGAACAAGACAGGCTAATAATAATCTTTCATTGTGCAAAAGTATTATATACTAAAGGCTGTTTTTGGGGATTTGTATTTTATACTGAAGTACAATTTCAAACTTTGAAACTTCTTGTACTTTTACTTGATTACATTTCTGAAGAAAAACTCATACTTTTTACTCCTTACAGTTTAATTTTAACTTGAGAAGTACATTTTTTGTTTGCATTTTATTTTCTACCATCTTACACACGTTAAAAACAGCTCAGACATGCACACTTGACCTGTGAGAACCAATGATGGTATAAAATGTAGATATCACGTGGCATTTTCGTTTATAACTTCATAAAACATGCATAGATTGTAGAAAAGGGCACATCATTACTTACAGTGGATGCTCCTGATTGAAATGAGTCCAAGATCAACATAATCCCATGCATTGATCATGAGTGAAAGAACGATTTTAAAAATGCACATTAGGGGGCGACAAAGGCTAAACAAAAAAGGTTACCTTGGTTCCAAATACTGTAACTTAAAGCATGTCAACATATTCTGTTACACCAAATACACAAAATAATTACCTTTAAAAAAGCATCATATGACCCCTTTAAGCGTGCACCACAAAATTCAGATCCAGATACAGCTCACAGATAGAGGAACATCACCCCAAAAAATGATCCCCCTATCTTACTT